CGTCCGACTCATGGTCTTGCTCAATCGGTCTCCTTCGGGAGGTTCATGTCGGAGTCATTAGATTGGGAGAAATGGTCCACTTTTTCCCACAATCGTTATGTGGAAGAAGCCGAGAAGTTCGCTCGTCCTGGATCTGTCGCACAGAAGAAAGCTTTCTTTGAAGCTCATTACAAGAACCTTGCTGCTCAGCGAGCTGCTGCTGCTGCTGCGAAAGCCGCCGAAGAAACTGACACAAAACAGAATGTTGATGATGTTGAGCATCAAGAGGTTGTGGCTGCAACTGAAACTGCACAACATTTTGCTGTCAATGACAATGGCAATGGCTGCGGCGACCCTTCTGATCTTAAGGAGGAGAAAACTGATAGCAGGGAGGTTGAGGGAGCTGTTTCAGCCATTCCCCACCAAGTGAGCGAGGAGATTCGCCAGAAGGTTGAGAATTTAGAGCAATCGACCACCATTAGCAAGAAGAAAGTAGCTGCTTCGTCTTCAAAGCTTCCATTTTTCAGTAGATCATCTGCGATCCGACCCACTACACCAGCCCAACCAATGGCTCCAGCTTCCTCTCTCAACAATGCCACTCCAAAAAGGAAATCTACTCCTAAATCTCTTAGGATGGCTAACTTTACACCCATTCGAGAGATCAACAAGTTAACTTCAACGGTGATGAGAAAGATTGAACGTTCGAGAGTTGGGTCCAGTTCTTCAAAACCAGCTAAAGATAGCTCAACTCCTCTTAGGACCCCGGATATGGTTGCCACACTTTTCGTCTATGAATTTATCTTCTGAATATGGGGATTTTGTTCTAAATCTTTCTGTAATATTTGGTTATCTGCAGGCATTGAAGAATGAGTACCAAAACCCTCCTTCTGCTACTCCCTGCTCAGAAACGAAGAGGTTGCTTTTCTCATGAATCTGCAATAACTTAAGTGTCATCTTTTAGTATTCATTTTGTTTGGAGATAGCTGATCAACATTCTTTTGTTAATAACTGCAGAAACAAATTGTACTCGCCATTTTCATTCTCCACTTTCAGCTTGAGAACCGATGAAAGAGCAGCCAGAAGAAAGGAGGCAAGCTTTTGCTGCATACTTCTCATGTACCTTAAACTCTGTCCCTTCAAGTGCTAATTTTGGTTGCTTGTTTCTTCTTAATACCTACAGAAACTTGAAGAGAAGTTCAACAAAAACGAGTCACAGAAAAATGTGCAACTTCAAACAAAACTAAAGGTATCTGTAGAATTGTAATTCTACTAATTTACGGTTAGAAACTATGAAGCTCCACAATGGTATGATATTGTCCACTTTGAGCATAAGCTCTCGTGACATTACTTTTAGTTTTCCCGAAAAGCCTCGTACCAATAGAAATGTATTCCTTACTTGCTGATGTGGGACTCCCTCCCAACAATCCTCAACATTAGCCATGACTCAACGGACTAATATTTCTGCAGGAGAAAGCCGAAACAGAGATAACAAAATTGCGACAAAGCTTCTGCTTCAAAGCCAGGCCACTGCCTAGCTTTTACAAGGAGCGAAAAGCACATAAAAACGAGGTAAATCCCATGTGCTAATAGCCTAATACAACGTGCAATGAATTGGTATAAATACTTCTGTCCCTTTGTTCTTAGGAGGTTCCCAAGCCTCATCCTCCATCACCAAAATTAGGAAGAAACTCCAACTCCCAAACTGGAGAAGCTACGATGGCCCATTCTTGCCATAAGCCTCCCGCTAAGAGCAGCAGAAGCATGAATAAGAATGTGCAGGGAAAGGCTCGTTCTACGTCATTACAAACTTTAATGTCTGCTCATGAGAATATATCTCCTAACATTCAGCAGTGAAAGTCAAGCTGCAGAAGGCTTCTCAATATTTTTCAGTCCATTTATTCACGAGGTCACCAGATCTTGACGTCCTCTAAACTACAGTGGATCCATTTTGTGGTATATCTGTTAATTTTTATGTAACAAAGCCTTGTTAAAAATATCAGTATATGTAGAGAACAATGATTTGATTGCTATGAAGATATCATTTATTCATCAGAATTCAACAAAGAGTTACAACAGAAGTTGTCAAAATAGAAAATAGTGACATTGGTATCCAAAGAACAGAGTTAGATATACAAAGTGAAACCATTATTCATATCCACATTGATAAAAGCACATTAAAGCCATGAATGGAAGGTGTCCTTTTCTTTTATCTGCCTTGTTGTCTGTTAGATTGCTGGTCTTTCTTCTACCAAACACCAAATATCACCACCCTCCATGGCTTCGTCCACGACGAACTCAACTTCACAGTAACTCATTTCATCGTCATCATCCACATGACGACGCATATCTTCGACCCTTGATTCGAAATCTGTTACTTTATGCATCTGATCATCATCACCATCATCGCTGATGAAGCAGGGGCATTCATCAAAGGGAACCATCAGTGAGCAGTCATCGAGGAGATGGTGCGCCTTGAACTTATTAGATCCCTTAGCTTTATCCTTGGCCTTTTGAACTGGGTGTAGCCTGCAGCCGGAGCATCGGGGCTTGCCACATTTTCCACTGAACTTGGAGTGATTGGTAGGCTTGGATGAAACCTTAGTGAAAAGGCCAGCAGTAGGAGGAAAATCGAGTTCGTTAATGAACCGAGTTTTGGGTCTTGGGTTCCATGGGGATGGGATGATCCGGTAGGTTCTTACCATGCCATGTTGGCGACCTTCCCTCTTCATTTTGGACTGCTAAAATTGAGCTGAGGAAAGAAAGGTTTGAAGGAAAGAAGAGGAATGGTTTGGAGTTATATAAATTTTGGTCAAGGAAAGATGCTTGGGAGGCAAGGACTTTGATTGCGACCCACTCTAAATAGCGCGTCGACCAAGCCCTTGATAGTTGACATCTCAACTTCTTTTTGTATATATTTTATGTAAACAAAATGAAAACTTTAAAGATAAATGGACCAGATCAGACAAATTTCTGGAGTTGGCCTGCCGCCCATGAACCATTATGCCTTCAAAGTTGCCTCCTTTTTCTAATAATAAAATTAGAATATGTGACGGTTGACTGATTCTAATTTAATGCATAGATAGATGTTTGAGGGAAAGTGAAATCCTTATTAATCTTTATAGATATGGTAAGGATATATACAATTCGACCTTGCTTAATAGAACTATGTACTGAAGAATATCGATTGAAAATTCGTAATACATTAATGAATTGTTCCTTCAAAGAAAGAGTAGAATTATATACGATCTGCTAGCTGGGGGAATCGTTCCAGAAGCCAAGTCACACCTCTAATGATCGTCTGTATGGTAAGAAAATGAACCAAATTACTAGAAGCACAAGAACTCAGAAGGTAGCTTCTAAATGGGTATTTACACTGTGAATTATCCAGATCCATGTGATGCAAAGAGAAACAAGAATAAGTTGAGTGAGATAGCAATTGCAAACTAAGATGGGTATGAAGCAGAAGAGAATTGATCAAATCCAAACTAAGATGGGTAGAGCACTCGAACTAGAACAACTTTCTAAAGGCTTAAAAAATATTTTTTAAATGTTTTTAAGCTCTTAGAAGGTGATTCCATGGAAGCTATGATGCTAGTAAACTACAAACACCCTTAACCACTCCATAAAGTCAAAACTCCATATCAAAGCCTCCTTCAACCGATCTCGGGCTTACTTGTAACAGTCCAAGCCCAAGGTTTTAGATTATCCTTCCGAACTTCCTCTCAAAGTTTTTAAAATTCGTCTACGGTAGAAAGGTTTCCACCCTCTTATAAATAATGCTTCGGTAAATGAAAAGGTAAGATGTAAGATGTGTTTCCCTCGTCACAATCTAATCTAACAACTACGATAAGATAAACACAGGAGGCACAGCTGACCAATATTTATGAACAAGAAAGAAAGAAAGAAAGAAAGCAAGCAACATTAACATACCAAAGCCATCTCTCCAGGCTTCAACGCAGGCTCAACGCTGTCTCGTGCATAGCTGTTAATTGAGACAACGGCGCAGTAAAAAGGATGAAGTTAGTACCAGTAGAGACCAATTTCAAGCTTCATCTTTGTATACTCAACACTATCTCATGCAACTTACATTATTTGTCTCTTCTTGGCATCACCAACAACCAAGCGATAAAAGCTGCATCCCTTGCTGAAAGGAAACTCTTTCCCTTTCCATTCTGTAATCAATTCCAACATTTTTCATAATGATTTTCTAATTTGAACTGTATCCGAAAAGCCAAGAAAAAGGAATACCTAAATGCCAAAGAACACCCACAGCTGATGAATCTTGGGTGGATATATCGTCAATAACAAACTGGAGATCCTTACTGATGGAATCGTTGAACTTTTTGAAGAAAATCAGAATGTCCTGCAGCATTTGGACAGAAAATCGCAAAAATCCCAAACGATACGATGGCAGAAGAGATTGAGAAGGCCGACGGGTACGTACCTTGCGGCCGACGAAAGGGCGAGAAAAGATAAGGTCCTCGTAAACGCAATTCTCAGCGATGAGATCCTCGACGGAGGCGAGGTCGTGGCGGTTGACGCCATCGTAGAATCCCCTGACGACATCGGAAGCGGATTGCAGGGTGTCAACCGGATTATTTGAAGAAGAAGACGAAGATGAGACGCGAAGAGGGAAACAGAGCGTGGTTCTGGGAGTTCGAGTGAGAGTGAAAGATTGGGAGATTAGAAGAGGAGGAGGAGCAGATTTCTTGTGGTTGAAACTGAGAGGCGATTGGAATGGAGATGGAGGCGATGGAACTGAGCCCATCGGTGGCGCAATTGAACGGAGCTCCACTGATGGATCGATTTTGTTCAGTGAGTACTTATCCATCTATTTTTTTATTTAATTATTTTTCAATAAATTCTAGAGAGAGAGAGAGAGAGACGGAGAGATATAAGAAGAAATCAATATGAAATTTCAACAATAATCCATAATCAAAACAAACGCATTCTATCACAAATAACACGAAATCTTCAAGATGACGAAGAAACAAGAAGCCATCGATCCGACAAATCCCAAACTACAACAGGATTGAAGCAAAACCCCACACAGCTAATGGAGTAAATACGAATTTCAGAGATCCTAGTGACGAAGTTCGAATCCTAGCAGCAGAGGATTTCTCGGAATTAGGGGAGGTGGAGGAAGCTTCATCTTGGGCCATCACCTTCACGATCATTCTCTGTCCCCTCTCGCAGTGTCCATTGGCGCCGCTGATGAAGTAGAAGGTCCCCGATCGGCCGAAATGGAACACAGTGTTGCCGGTGTTGGAGAAGAAGCTCGGCTGTGTGGAGTTGCATCTCTTGTACTCTTCTTCTGTCACTTCCATCACCGAGTCCTTCTTGTACCGGAAACCTAATCCGCAAAACAAGAAACAAACATAGAAAATGTTAATGCAGAAGGGAAGTTTAATCGGACGGTGTTGTTGAGATGATCGGGACTCACGGACGGAGTCTTCAGCTCGGAATCTGTTTTCCGAGGCCCAGTCGTTGTAGATTCTGGTGTCGTTGGCCGGCGGAACCACCCAGCCTTTGGTGTCACCCACTTGAAACTCAAAAGAAGCGACATAGGAGAGGCAGGTGGTGAGAAGGAGCAGAGTTGTGAAGAAATTCATCGAGTTGGAAGCCATTGATGGTAGCTTTAAGGAGTTGAAACTTGGAGCGAATAGAACAGTGGATGACGATGGAAGCTTAGGGGAGGAGGGAATTTATAGTGAAGAAAATGGCAGTTGAGGGGAGTTTGAATATTGCTAGTGATGGAGAAACAGGGCGGTTGGCGGTTTTGGAAGTGTGCTTGAGTTTGTTCATCCATGGCTGATGGCACGTTCTGGCTACGATTTCGGGAAATGGGCTACGAATCGTTCTGGCTTTTCCTGTTCGGATCGTGGTAAAGCAGAAGAAAATCAGAGTAATTCTTCTTCTTCCTCATCTTCTTCTTCTTTCAGAGAATTTCTGACTTTCTGGGTTCGGAACAATTTTACTGAAAATGCTGTATATAGATAGATATGAACTGATGTAAAAGTTGATTACAATTACCCTAAGAAGACAATGGCTGAATCATATTTCTTATGTAATACAATTCAATAGTCAATCTTCTAGAACAAAGCTAAGATTTCAAGGACACTCATGAACACTTAGATAGCAGAAACTGAAAAGATTACAGTTGAAGAAAGCTAAGTTAGTTTGCTTTCCACATCTTTTTCAACTACATTTGGTTCTTGATCGGTCTCATCATTTCCTGTTTTGTTTTTGAAGGATATCTGGCTTAGGAACCTCCCAATGGCACTTTGTGATTTCGAAATTTTCCTTCTACTACTTGGTCTGCTTCTATCATTCTTCTTGATGATATCTTCATAAACAGCATCAACAAGACTAGCAAACCGGCGTTTAAATGTCGGAAACCTTGATATCAATCTGGTAATCCCTCGAAGCCTTCATGGTAGACAGAAATAGCTCCTGTTATTACTGAGAATTACCAGATTTCATTGGATGATGTAGCAAGATTTTGCAGGTACTTACCTTCGAGCCAAAGCCTCAAGTTCGGCACACTTGCATTTGGATTCTGGTGGCAGGCTGATGTTGGAATCTTTCATCCTGATGGGATCATCACCCAGCAGAACTAATCTAGAGAGGTACTCCTCTTCCTGCTCAGACATATTTATTGCCTTTATTTGTTCTTTGATGATTAATAGAGGGTTCAGAAACCAATCATAGAATATGTCTTGAGGTCTGTTTTCACTAGTAATCTCCGTAGCTTCATCACCTAAATCAATGAAAACCCGAATAGTTTTGAACATTTTGAGATTCTCAAAGTCACCAAAAAGGAGAAATGAAACTTACTCAGAAGTAATCCAGCTGAATCGGCTTTTGCTGATCGAATGATCGTCTGAAGAAGACAGTAAGCTGGTAAGCCAATGCTAAGAACTGTAGTGTCATTATTGGATTTGGCATGTTCAATATCTTCAAGCGTTATTAATCCCTTGGAGACAATAAGTATCCCTTGCCGCTTACACTCCTTAGAAAAATTATCGAGAAGCTACAGAAGAGAGCAGGGATCGAACTTCTGAGCTCTAAAGAACAACACTATTCAAGTATTCATAATGAAAACTAAGTACCTCCAAAGGTTTTAGCTCAAGCATGATGTTCTTGACCAAATCTGTAAGAGAGGGACAACGTCTAACAGATTGAGCTTCTTGTGATTTATCCGGTGGCTGCATATCCTTCTTCCGATATATCGGTCTTTTCGTATTGAAAAAAACATGGAAACAATATTATGTTCTGTTGTGCAGTTAAAAGAGTGGTTTTTTTTAGGGTAGGAGAATACCTGGGAAAACAGGAGCCATTGGCCATGTCTAGGACGTCATTGCTGTATTCGTCGTAAATGGAGATGGATGCCAGAATATAGCAAAGCCCCAACCAAAAAGAAGATTCCTACAACTCAAACACTAGCAGTTAATAACGAATCTAACAATGACTTCTGCTGCTTTCACTGACTCAAGTATAATGATTGAGAAAAGAGAGATTGATTGTGTGAGATCCCTTATTGGTGGAGAGTGAAACGAAGCATTTCTTATAAGGGCGTGGAAACCTCTCCCTAGCAGATGTGTTTTAAAAACCTTGAGGGAAAGCCTAAAGAGGACAATATCTGTTAGCGGTGGGCTTGAGCTGTTATAAATAGTATTAGAGCCAGACACTAGGTGGTCGAGGACGCTGTGCCCCAAGGGAGGTGGATTGTGAGATCGCACATCGTTTGGAGGGGGGAATGAAATATTTCTTATAAGAGTATGAAAATCTCTCCTTAGTAGATGCATGTTAAAAACCTTGAGGGAAAGATCGAAAGGAAACTCCCAAAGAGGACAATATCTGCTAGCGGTGAGCTTAGGCCGGTACAGATTGCCTATGGGAACAAATCATGTGGTTCTGCATTACACAGGAGCTGAAGACTAGTTGAATTAACTTAGCAGCAAAAGGAGAAAATCTTAGCAACAGCTCAGCCGTGAGTACCATCGACGTTAAACTTATCAAAGATGGAAAGAACTATTAAAGGATCAAGGGAACTATTTGGAACCTGATAAACGATGACTCCTGCATAAGCACCAAGGAAAATGCTGGAGATGATAGATCCAACCAATGCACCCACAACAGCTAATGGCCAGAGTAAGATAGCAAGCCCTGCAAATGGAACACAGATTGTCTCCGAAAATGGACCATTTCGACCGATAAGATCGTGGAATAAACGACGCCACCCCTTGATTAGCATAAAAGGGCATTTATACAGGGCAATGAGTAAGATGACTGGTGTATCAACCACGGAACCAAGAACTCCAACTATGGAAGCACAAAGGAAATCAAACAGTCTGCAAGAAACCAACGAAAAGGTTAAGCCCTGACTTTTGCTTTTATCATTAGTCTTTTGGAAGTAGCTGAGATAATCAGAAGTAAACAGCCTCCGGGTTCCCTATACGAATGACACCAACAAACCTGATATCATAGTATCCAGCCTCCGGGTTTCCCTTTTGTAGCAGTTCCTCCAAAGTGGAGAAGTAAGAATGTAAACAAACATCCCGAAAATCACCGATAACCATGAAGGACCCTTTTATGGTATCCCAAGTTCCATCCTGAAATTCATTGGAGAAATGAAATCAAACAAGCCCACCATTAGCAGACATTATCCTCTTTTGGCACTTTCTCTGTGATATTGTCTTCTTTTTGGACTTTCCCTTCTAGGCTTCCCCCCAGGTCTTAAAACGCGTATGCTAGGGAGAGATTTAATTTGTAACAACCTAAGCTCATCGCTAGCAGATATTGTCCTCTTTGGGCTTTCCCTTCTGGGCTTCCCCTCACGGTTTTAAAATGTGTCGGATAGGGAGAGGTTTCCACACCCTTATAAGGAATGTTTCGTTTCCCTCTCCAACGATATGGGATCTCATAAAAAGTAACAAAGTTCGAGCAGAAATACGTACATATAGACAGTGGAATACTTTATCAGGCTGGTCTTGTTTAGCAGCATTAAATGTAGCCATTAATGGAGAAAGAAAGCCGTAAACTGCTCCACCTATAGTGCTTATAACAGCACCAAATTCAGGCCACAGAAGCAGTAAAACAGGCAGTACACAAAGGCATAGAATGAGTTTAAGACCCCAACCAAGTTGTTGAGCTCTGCCAAATAGAGGATTGTAACATTAGAAAGACCACTCTTTTTTCCCTCAATCCATTTTGAGAATGGAAAGCAAAGGGTTTAGAGATGAGACCTTAGAATGCAGTAATATGTCCTGAAAGTTTGGATTGGCCAAAGAACCATTATTAAAGAAGAATTTGCCAATGTCATGATAAGGCTTGTTAATGGACTAATCATCGCACCTGAAATGAGTGGCAGGATTCAACTGTTAAAAAGCTTCAATCATGAAACTGCACAGAATCCCCAAAAAGAATGTAATCGAAGCTCACCTTTGGTAATACCGAGAAGAAAAAGAACAGTGAAGCTAGGTAGATTGCAAATGAAGCTCCACATAAAGGGCACAGCTCCATTTGGAGCTTCAATGGCTACCTTCTTCCCCAACTCCTCAATCCCCTCGGACGTCTCCAAATCTCTGCCCTCCATTGAGGAATTAACCAAAAATCTTTCCTCAAACCCAAGTTACAATTCCTCCGCCATTGCAAGCATTTGAAGGGAAATATAAAGGGCAGAAGAGAAATGAAGAAGAAGAAAAAAAACAAGAAAGAAGGTTTCCAGCACATTCGAACAGAACTTGCACAGTTCGCAAGTCACTCTGTTTCAGAAACCAAATCACGTGGAGCTCCATTGAAGAAGACCTTGTTTCATTCATTAGTGATGGTGATTAGACATGGGTTTTAAAGACCATAATTTGAGAAACACCCAGATCGAGCTCGACAGACGCCATGAAAGAAACTATTCAAGATCACGATCTGGGAAAGGGATGGCATCGCAAGCACGTAGCTACAGCACAGTCGCTCTAGCGAGGATCAATCAATTCAATGCTCGTTTCTCAATGAATTATCTGTTTGTTTATCGAACAAGTAACGATTTGAATTCAAACATCCTAGCATAAATAAGCAACATGCTCATCTTTGTGAATAGTTCAAACAGCCCCATCCATTTCCATAAGCCTTATTATAATTGAGTTCAACCATATTGGTAGCCCTTGAATGTTTAGCTTTAAAGCTCACTTTCCATCAAAACTTCTATAACCTCACTTCGAATTTTTTAAAGAGATGATGAGCTTTATTGATACCCAAATTTGGTATATGGTATTAATGGTATACAAAACAAAGAGTAACTTACCAAAACAGGAGTAACTAGCTTTGGTAATGTTGAGTGTCAGGTTATGCTTGTTCAAGACGTGTTATCTATGATCGTGTGTCGGATGTCCCAATCATGTTTGTCCAAGATGTGTTGTTCATGGCCGCATGTCCATTCCAAACCCATTCTACCTACTTTTATATGTAGTTAGGTCATTATTATTTTTGTCATGTCAATATAGGAGTGCAAAATCATTCACCGAAATCATGTCTATACCTGTCAAGGCTAAAATACTCCAAATTGTACTATAGATATGATGTAACTAGTTGCCAATTTTTCTTACTCGGGTAATATGCTATCAAAGCTATAGTTGTTGTTCATTCGCTTTTAGCCTATAACATTTTTTTCTTTCAAATTGTTTTCAACACATTTCCTCGTTAACATTTTATAAAATATTTTTATCAAATGTGACTCGAGACTTAATTATACGTCAAGATTGGCCGCAAAGATAGATTTTCACACAGTTGACTTATTCTTCTAGTTAAAACAAGTATCACACCATCGTTACTGCAAGAGTGATGTTGTGACACTAAGCTACCTACACTTTCACGCTAAAGTTAGAACTAGAAATCGAGTTTACAGAGAGCTTAAAAAGTGTAAAGTATGTGTTAGGCAAAATACCTTCCAATATCATCACAATTTGTATTTTCTTCTCTGGTTTGACACTCATTGAGAATTTCACTGGGTTCTTGGATCTTTATTATTACCAAACGCTTCTACTCAATCATCCCCTTTGAGCTCAATGAGTCCTTCAATGCCAACACTTGATTTTCTTTCTCATCCTAAAGGTTAGTTTTGTTTCCAGTATTGTCAGAGTGTCTGCTGATTGACTCTATGAGGTATTGGTTGAATGAGACCAGCCAAATTAGTCTAAGTCAACCCCTCAAAAGGGTCATTCAAGCCAACTTAGTTCAACTCGTTAAAGGTTAGCCTTTCCAACCTAAACTTGAAGGATCTACATTCTAGGCTTCATGAGGAATGTGCTAAATAGGTTCGACTTGGTTTGTTAGATTGACATTTCTAGAATCCAATTGGTTTGCGCTCCACATAACTTAACGATAATCCTACTCTTCTTGAGCTATATTTATTCAACCTTATGGTTAAATTCACCCCAAACAAGCCCATTTAACGTAAAAATAAATGTATTAATTAAAAATCTAGACTTTTCATAAACATTTACCTTTTCTTCCCAATCTAATGAAACCAAAACATCAAATAATAATAAAAAAATTTAAAAAAAAAAAAAAAAAAAAAACAACAACAACACAAAAAATGAATTAAAATAAGAGAATAGCTCTAATGAGACAAAGTTGTTCAAATCTCCTATGGTTGAAGTATATCTATTATTTATAATTCAGAAAATGCCAAATTTATTTTTCTGAAAAATGCAAAAACTGTCTCTTTTTTTTATGTACTTAAAATCTCGTATCATAAAAGAAATATTGTAATTAAGTATATTTAATGAACACATCTATGATGGATTACAATAAGATCCAAAGAAGAACACAAAATGACAGATCCATCGTGAAAACAATTGCATTCAACCGTAGATTCCAAGAAAGATACACACAACACCCACTAATTAAACACATTGAACTAAACAATTTCGAACCCAAAACCCATCTTCCCCAGTAGCTGAAGAACGCCAAAAATCTTTTGAAAACAGAAACAAAAAAGCTATAATCATAATCAAACAACAACCAAATCTTATGGGATACGTAAAATGGAATCCTTCTTGTTCTTCCATTTTTTCATACACGTGCTCTCTTTCCAAATTTCAATTATGTTCATGTGTTTTTCAGAATCTTGTTTTTATTTCATTTCTTCTCTCCATATATTCTTAGGTATCTCCAGATTTTCTTCTCTCCATTAATGCTTTAATTATTATTTCATATCATCCTATTCTTTAATATTCATATCGTTACTGATATCGTAACGAAAAAGGGTTTTGAGGGTGTGAGGCAATGGACAACATTCATGTCGTTCCACCACCGAATGTTCTTTGGTTGTTCTTAGCTTAAAAAAAATTGAAGAACAAGCAAGGAGAAGGACAATAATTGATGATGATTAAGGCATTTAGTGTTATAATTTTGGTGTTAACAATGATGGAGGTAGTAGCTGCAAAAAGTATTGCCCACAATCCCAACATATGGGGCCTCAAATCTCATCATCTCTTCTCCTTTTCCTTAAAAAACAAAACATCCCATGCTCTTTTTAAGCTCTTCCTCCCTCTCCTTTTTGTCCTCAGACCTTAAACAAACTTCTTTTCTAAATTTCATCCCATCAATTCTCCTTCAAACACAAGATAAATCACATCCTTAATAAACCCACAAGAATGGTTGGAGGGTTTTGTAACGACCCAAGTTCACTTTTAACAGATATGCCATTTTTATGCTTTCCCTTTAGAGTTTTCCCTCAAAGTTCTTAAAACGAGTTTGCTAGGGAAAGGTTCCATACTCTTGTAACAAATATTTCGCTTTTCAGTTTTACAATTGTATATATAACATCTAGAAGGTTGTTAGTTAGAGTATCAATTTGTGAAGTTGGCTTGAAAATTACTTGATGTTGGTTGTAATTATGAAGAACAAAGCATTGATTGTAAAAGCTATATAAGTAAAGATTTTGAAGGTTGCAAGTAAAGACATAGGAGTGGACTTGGTGATTGTCTTTAAAGGTGAAAGAAAGTGGAGTTTTTTGCTTTCCCATCTCACATGGGTTGATACCCTTTTCATTATCCAACCACCTTTATAAACAAATCAAAATCACCTAATTATACCAAAAACCCAACTTTATGCTACAACTAATTATATTGTATGTACAACTCACACAAAACCCCTAAATTCGGGTTTGGTAGATATAAAAAACTATCGAGTATGCTACAAGAAAGAAATTCAGAATCCCGTCTTCTTTTGAGCTGTTCAGCTCAAACAAGTGCTTCTAACATAAGCATAATTCAATAGTAATCGATATTTGTTTATGCTTCTTCCTTTCTAGATTGATAGCGATGGTTCGAATTCAAAGACTAGAAAAAAAAAAGACAGGTTTCCTAACCTTGACCTAAAATATATTTTGAGACCCCAATACATGAGGGTTGTTTGGGTTGTAAACAAGAGCTATCAAACCCCAAAAGTGATTTATATATGGCCCGCTAATCAAGCAAGCGTGTTCCCAAGTACCCACCCCCATGTGCTGCTTTCACTATCCATGAAATCAGCTCTATATTCCTCTATCAAAACTCCACATGTCGTTTTCTCATTCGTCATTTGCTTATCAATCTCTTCGCCGTCCACATCGTCTTTTCTTATCTCTTCTTATCGGTGTTTCATCATTTCAAACTCCATGATTTGGGTCGTCCGACTTTATCTTTATGTAACATTCTTTACGGGGATGTGAGAATTCATGGGAGATTCCACATCGGTTAGAGAAGAGAACGAATCATTTTTTATAAGCATGTGCAAATCTTTTCTTAGCAGACAGGTTTTAAGAACTTGAGGGAGAAAGTTAAAAGGGAAAGCCTGAAGACAACAATATTTACTAGTAGTGAGCTTGGACTGTTAAAAGTCGAGCTTTTAACCTTTTGTTTGATGATACATGTAACATGGGCTTTTGAAAACAATAAAGATACGAGAATTCGAACCTTTAATCTTTTGGTTGATTGTCGTTTGTTTTAATAAGCTAATTGTTAATATTGGTGTAACATGGGCATTTGAAAATATTTAAAAAAAATCAAAGAATTAAATAGAAAATATGATACTTTAATCAATTCTTCTTTTTTTTGCTCTTCGTTTGTCGTCACATGTGTTATCTCCCATTATATAATAACCTTCACCATCTCCATCCTTTTGAGTTGAGAGCAAAAGGATAAAGAAGCAAAGATGATGAAGCTCAGGTCAAAGAGGTTCTGCAGAAGCTCCACTTTCAGGTTTGGAAGCTTTGTCAGCAGCTGCAACAACAAGATCAAAGTCGCTGATGACCACGATGAGGACGACGGCAGCCTGACTGAAATCAAGTGGGAGCTCCGGCCGGGAGGCATGCTGGTGCAGAGGAGAGAGATCGCCGGTGGATCCACTTTGACCGGAGAAGAAACCATCACTATTAGAGTCTCAACTGTCTCGCAATTCCATCAGATTTCTGTCGAACCCACCTCAACTTTTGGTAAGTTTCAATTCTACGTCGACTAATTTAGGGAATGATCATGTGTTTAGGAATACATTTCCACTAGTATAAGGTATCTTGAGAAGCCCAAAGTAAACCGTGATAGCTTATGTTTAAAGTGGACAATATTATACCATCGTGGAGATCCATGATTTCTAACCAACGCTCAAATAAAAGTCAAAACTTTGGTGGAAAATTAGATGGGTTTTGTTTGAATTTCAATAAAAATCAAAACTTTCATGAAAAATTTGATGGGTTTTGTTTGAATTTCAATTTGGATTATAAAGTAATTGATGGGTTTAATTGTGTGATTTTGTCAGGGGAATTGAAGATGATTCTATCAATGGTGAGTGGGTTAGAACCAAGAGAGCAAAGATTGCTATTCAAAGGGAAAGAGAGAGAGGACGGTGAGTATCTACACATGGTTGGAGTGGGAGACAAAGACAAAGTTCTTCTTCTCCAAGATCCAGCGATCAAGGACAGGAAGCTTCATGGGTTGGCCGCAGGGCAGCCAATTAGTGTATAATAATAATACAATTAGTATCAATTAATCCAAAAACAAGCATGTTTTTGATACCACTAACCCTCAGGAAAATGGCAAACTGTTTGTCCTTGAAGGCCTTTTGTTTTGTTTTGTAAGAATTGTGGTGGTTTTTAAGTATAATGTTTGAGCTATAATACAAAATGGCTCGTCTGTAATGTGCTGATGCTTGTCTGAGTCATTATGTTTGTTGATTTTTGTATCCAAACAAAGATTGATTCTGAAAGAATGCATCTCCAGATCTCCTATACCTCTTTCTTCTTCTAACATCACTGTCATGAAATTAATATTAAAATTTGTTTAGTACAACAAATGTAAGCATTTGGATCTCCCATTTTGTAACGAGTAGATGTGTTTTATCGTTAAATTATGTTCGAATCAATCAAGTATTAGAAATTGACAAATAATCAAACTATACTCTAAATGTTTGATTCTTTAAGCATCTTAGTTTGTAGATACATAATAACTAACTAAGTCACTTTACGAGAGATGTTCATTTAACTTGTAGATTTATGGCATGCGGCAATACACACTAAACGAGATAACAATTGTGGTAGTCCAAGTCCTCCACTTGCAGGTATTATCCGCTTTGATCTGTTACGTATCGCCGTCAGTTTCACAGTTTTAAAACGTGTCTATTAGGGAGAGGTTTCCACATGCTTATAAATAATGTTTCGTTCTCCTCTCCAATTGATGTGAGATCTCACAATCCACTCCCCTTGGGATCAGCGTTCTTGTTAGTACACTGATCAGTGTCTAACTCTAATGCCATATGTAACAACCCAAGTCCACCACTAGTAGATATTGTCCACTTTGGTACGTTACATATTGCTGTCACAGTTTTAAAACGTGTCTGCTAGGGAGAGGTTTCCACATCGTTATAAGAAATGATTTGTTCTCCTCTCCAACTGATGTGAGATCTTACAGTAAATCTCTATTTAAACGACTCTCGTATAAACAAATGAGTTTTTTTGCGATGATAAGTAATTAAATAGGAAACAGAGACAGCAAAGGGTAAGACTTCCTCGTCCCGCTTGGCCACGTAAACATCTTTAGTTGTAACGAACGAGTAGCTAATAGTTTCATATGGTTAAGGGTTGGTTTTTAATAAAAATATTAAACCCAACAACTTAATATAAAATTTTAAGAATTAAATCTTAAGCAAAAGGGAAGTATGTAAAGGCAGACAAAAGTAAATTTAAAATAACTTCTTTCTTTTATTTAATGATTAAAAATAAGTAATGCTTTTAGTTTTGTTTGTTGTGCGTGTAATTTGCAGTGACCCACACGTGCACGCGTGCGGGGGTTAAAGTTGTCAGCGATATTTTTATTTAATGCCTTTTCCCTATTTCTAAATTGCTCTCACAAAAAGTTAAATTCAGATCAATTACTAATTAATATCTTTCATCTTTTTTTATTTTCTTTAATCATTATTCCTAAACAATGATTTTCATTTTCGTTTTTTATTTTTTATTTCTTCGTTAAATATATATATATTTAATAGTTTTTTTAATTTATTTTATAAGAGTTCTAATATCGTTAAAATCATTAGATAGTTAAATCTACGTTTAATAAGATAAGTCCAAAAAAAAAAAAAAAAAAAACCAGTGATCATCAATAATCGAAACATAATATCTAAAACTCATTTTTGTAAATAGAGAAAATTCTTAAACGGCTCAAGCATGTATAAATTCAAAGATGGAGTAGTCACGCCACTATCGAGTTGAGGTGGTCGGTATCTCCATAAAGTAATCAATAGTGTTGTCATTAATTTTCGACCTCATAATTCAGACATAGAACATAAAAATCTTGAACATCCATAATAATTTTTTTTTTTTTTTATCTGTGCACGGATATTCATTTCTAGTTGATATTGATAAACATTTTTATTTAGCATTAATTATATTTTCTTAAAGCAACATGATCTTTAAGAGGGGAAAAAAGTCATTGAAATTGTCGAAAATAAAGAAAAGAAAAGACATTTCCCTGAATGCCCTTATCTCCAAATAATGTCTCTAAACCTTCTCAGTTTCTTTTCACAAAGCGACCCTGCAAGAGGGAGGGAGAGGAACGTCATTTCATGCTTGGATAAAAGGAATTAGTTTCTAATCAATATATATATAAAATAAATAAATAATAATAATTAATATCTTTTTCGTAACCATTCCTATCACAATTTGTATCAGTAGAGAGAAGATTATCCTCACATATCAATAGAGTCGTTCCAACATTTTGTAGTCATTTTAAGTCATTAATTGATGGTATAAATAGTAACTTTCAATTTTGTAAGTTTTTTTTAGTCATTCTATCTTCCAGATTACTCGGAATAATGTGTATATGATATGGGTTGAAAGTACCTTCATTCTTGGACGTTTCTCAGCATTGAGTTTTCTAACTTGATACCGAATGCGCTTGGAGAACAGCCTGCTCTGCCTTTTCTCTTTGTATCTCAAAACACTTGCCTCTCTGCCACCCACTTTCCATCCAATCTCCGGCACTTTCCACACATTTCCTCCTCCTTCGCTCCCCATTTTTGATCTCCGATTCTCCTCCCAAACACTCCCATCATCGTGAAGATTCGGCACAGTCTGCGGTGATTCCCCATTGATAAAAAGCGGAGCTTTATCCGACCAAGCGTTCAAAATCCCCTCGTAATCAAGCTTCAACCTCAGCTGTTTCCCCCTCATCTCCACCTTCTTCTTCTTTGTCGCCGTGCTCGTCACTTCCTCTACCTCCTCCTCCTCCTCCTCCGCCGCCGCCGCCGCCGCCGTCCATGACGGCTCCTCCTTCTTCTCCACTACCTCCGAATAACAAACCCACTTCTCCTCTGCCCCTGCCTCCCTCTCCCGACTCCTCATCGCCGTCCGTACAAGCGCCGCCTCCTCTGCTAAATTACGCGACTCTTCCTCTGACGACATGTCGTTGTGGTAAGTCGGAAGGAAACTCCCTAAGCTGCAGCAGCTGCTCACGACGTCGTTCTCGAACATCAGCGCCACGTTCTCCTCTCTGTCCTCCACCAAATTCTCCGGATGCAGGGGAAACAGAGTAAGCTGTTTCTGTGGCGGCGGTGCTGATGGGTCGTGTGTCATCGGGGAAATTTGGGAAATTTTGGGCGAAATGAGCTCCGATCGAAGGCTAAGAAATTTGGGTCGTCTTGTCTTGGTTCTGGATTTACGAATTGGGCGTTGGATTACAGAATCGTGGGTGTTTTGGTTGTTGATTGTGTTTGTGATGCACATTTCTGAGCCTCCAGAGTCCAAAAAACTGATGGACAAACAAATTTAGCTCTTTTGGGTAATCAAAATAGGTTTAAAAGGGGGAAAGGAAAAGCGAAGCCATGGAGGCAATAAGAGACGGACCCACTTGGGGGAAAAAGCGAAAAGGAAATGGGTTGAATGGAGATGAGTCAGCCATCTGATATTAAAACATGATGTGATGCATTTGGTCTCTTCACACGTGGAATGCAGGGATTGGGTGGCGATGTGGATTTTGTATTGCTATCCAGATTGCCCTTTGTGCCTGTGGATAGAATGTAGGGGGGTGTTTTTGTAATTTTGTTCATACACGATAAATATTTGTAGATCTTTGGAGTAATAGTATTCACAGGATGGTTGCTTTCACTCCTTCCCCTATGGAGAAATTATTTCAGTATGTACTTTGGGAGAATTGCTCGGGCCCACACGAATTTAAATTTTATATATTTGACAATTTTAAGGACATAATCATATCATAACGATCGGTTATTGAATAATTTTCGGGTAATTTACACACCCATTGACTTATTCGGTCTCCCTCTGGATCCTACCTAGTCCTTCATTTTCTTAATTCTTCTTTCCTTCCATAGTGCTGCTCCTCGTCGTAAGCTCACAGATGCACATGGAAGGAAAAACACAACATTATTCTTTCCTTCCATAGTGCTCTTTGACGGAAAGCTCGACAATATCTGCTAGTAGTGAGCTTGGGGCATTACAATGATTGATGGGTATAAAGCTCTGCGTCGAACTTCAGCTCTTGAGAGTTGGCCACGAGGCAACCGTCTCTAATGCCCCCATACTCTTGCTGCCCGTTCACTAAATTAACTAGGTTCAGGGATAAGTAGGTCAGCATGATTGACGGGTAAAATATTTAGTACTCATTCTGTTTTTGTCAGCGTGATTGGTGACTCAAAAACATAATTCCCCATATTTTTCCCATTACCTTTCACAATCACAAACATCCGAGTTTAACCAAATACTCTGCTTTGGCAAACCAAAAAGTTGGATGGAAATTAAACCAACACAAAAATTCAGATCTTCATAAACTAATAATAATTAAACTGCTCTTAATAAACAAAGCCCTTTTCTTCCTTCATTTTCGGTACTTGCAGTTATATGACCTTTCCTGTTATTACTAACTAGCAACGGGAGCCTCTGCGGCAGTTGAGGGCGCCGGCTGTGACCGTGATAGAACCAACCAGGGAGGAGGGTCTGGCGCTGAGACTGTAAGCTCTTGCGTAGCTGGACGCAGCGCCGGCGCCGGACTGGCGAAAATAGGCGCCGTTTAACATCATGTCGCCCTCTGACCGCCAGTTCCAGTGACGCCACTCACTCTCCGGCGCGTCCTCGTGCTTTGTCACCTCCTTTTGGTATCGGACGTCCGGCGCCAAAAATCTGTTGCCTTGACTGTATATAGTCGGTGAAGCACTCCCTCCAATTGCGTACATTTCCCAGTGGGTGTAATCGTTGTTCACCACATGGAAATACCCATGCCTGCATCTGCAAAATCATTCCCACAATTCAAAGACACCATTTTAGATGGAAACAAAAATTCACACATCAAAATTTTGATGCTTTAAAGTTGAATGGAATTAAGGGAGGTCTTTTCGATTCCATCATTCACCCTCTTCGGGACCCAGTGTCAACTCTGATATCATTTATGGCCGTCCAAGTTTACGGCTTAGGACAATGTCTGCTACTAACAGTGAGTTTGAGCTGTTACAAATGGTATCAGAGCCACCCACGGGATAGTATGTGAGGAGACTTCAAAGGAGTGGATTGTAAGATTCTTTAGAAGGGTGTGAAAAGCTCAAGTAGAACTTAATAGACTTGAACGGTTACGTATTACAATTTGATTTACCTGGGCATTCGTTGAACAAGGCCCTCACCAAAATGGTTGAAGGCAATAGTAACTTGCATATTCTTGTCTTGAGTGTAAGAGTCACTATGTCCCAACAGCATCACTTTATCATGATGCGTCATGTAATTATTCGAAATCGTGATCGCCGTGGAACCATGAATCGCGTCGATCAACCCATCGTTACAATTAGACAAAGAACAATGGTCAACCCAAATATTCTTCCCACCAAAGATCGACACTCCATCACCGTCTGATATAGTCCACCACCCGGAGTGCTGTGGGGAGTCCCGTATGTTACCATTCCCCCCTCTCTTACAGTCATGTATGTGGATGCCGTGGATTATGATGTTTGTGGCGTAGTGGATGGTGATGCATGGCCCACCTGCCACATGCACGCTGGCCCCACGCCCGTCGATGGTCTTGAACGAGTTCATCACTAGTTCTTGTCTTAGTTGGATTACCATGTCACGCTTGAAGATGATCCATAAGGGCTCGTTTTGGATGACGGCGTGGCGGAGGGTTCCTGGTCTGGGGTTGAGAGGGTCGTCGTCGCCCGCGTCTGTGACCATGTAGAAGCGGCCGTTTCTGCCGCCGATGGCGTTTTTGCCGAACCCAATGGCGCAGTCGGCTAAGCGCTTTCGGTTGGTTTCCCAATTGGGGTCGCATCTCCAGCAGTCGTCTATTGGGTTTCCTGTTCTACATGACAAATATCCCAAGTTTCTTCTTATTCTTGATTCATTGATGCTCCTGTCAATTTATAAATAAGACACATTATTAAAGACAACATTATGAGTACTTTATTTTCATAGGTATTGTTAGTAGTTATTGTCCAATTTGGTTCAATACGTATTGTCGTCAGTCTTACGATTTTGAAACGCATCTGTTAGGAAGAGATTTCTACACTCTTACGAGAAATGTTTTGTTCTTGTCTACAACCGATGTGGGATCTCACAATCCACCCCTAGAGGGGCCAACATCCTCGCTGGCAGACCACTCGATGTTTAGCTTTGATCCCACATTAGTTAGAAAAGGGAACGAAACATTCATTATAAGGGTGTGAAAATCTCTTCCTAGCAAACGCGTTTTAAAACCGTGAGTCTGACGATGATATGTAACGGGTCAAAAAGAGCAATATGTACTAACAATGAGTTTGAATTGTTACCGATGATCGTTATGTTGAAAGTGAATAATATCATACTATCGTAGAGTTTCGTGATTCTAATGTTCAAATGAGTGAATAACGAGTAAGAAATGAAGATTCACATCCATGTTTGTATTTGAAACACTAAAAACATGCAAGAAGAAACCACATTTTGTTAAAAGGGTCCAAATATTCCTCAAAACTGAACCATAAACAAGAAACGAAAAACAAAAACAAAAAATGTATACCTTTGAACTTGTTGAACGACAAGATGAGGATCTTGAACAGAAGCCAAGGAGGAATCAGTGAAGAAGAAAGAGAGTGGTAAAAGAAGCAAAAAGAAAAAGGAAGCCGCCATTGGAGAAGAAAACAAAGAAAAGGGTTGAAGAAGAAGAAGAAGAAGAAGAAGAAGAAGAAGAAGAAGAAGAAGAAGAAGAAGTGGTGGGTTTAGCCAAAATGGGATGAGTAGCATTATATAGAAATATAAAGCCGTCAGTAGAGGCGTGATTGTACCATAGATTACAGCCAGGTGGGGTCTCAAACATGATCGTAATTTCAGGTTTTAAATCATCTCTTCAAACCTCTCAAGTCAAATTCTTTTGACTTTCTGTCCTTCTCTCCTCTCTCTCTAGTTTAAAAAGGTCAAATTTTGATGTTATTATTAACGTTTTGGATCAAGTTAAGCTCCACCCCTTTGTCCTTGGGTGACTTTCGAGGGGGTTTGAGAGAATTTTTGGCTTTAGATTCACACCAAACCACCCATTCTGCTACTGTTTTAGGGTTTTAAAGTCTGTCAACTTGCTTAAAACGTACGGGAGAATGGAGAAAAATGTTTATGGGAGGCCGCACCACATAATATGAGATGTTCTAAAAATAATTTATTTTTGTATTTGAATTTGCTTCAATATTTAAAAAATGTTTCAATTGAATTTAATCTGAATTATTACCGTTATATTATAATTTGATGATACCAATGAATTAATCTTCTTTTTCTAGTAGGTTGAATTAGGACTTTCAATATAATTGAGTTCTAAACCTAATGTTCGGAGTTTGTTGACTATAAATCAATATACCATAAATTAGGTCTATCTAACTTATGGGCTTCATTAAATTAATTTAATACCATTGGTAAACTTTATTTTCTTTACTAAAAATATATATAATAAAAATATATCTGACTATTTTTATATAAAGAAAAAAAGTGAAATGGTTAGTTTTTAATTTCAATATTTTTAATACTATTGTCTATATTCATGTTTAGATTAATTATTTAATGATTTAAATGAATGAAAAAGTCGCTTATATAGAGAAATAAGATAATAATAAATAATAGAATCATAGTCTCTTAATTCCACCTCATCTCATTACATTAAAAAGAATTTAGAACACAATGACTCCAGCAATGGTCGCAACCGTGGTAGCAGACATCTTCAGGAACGAAGATCCACTGGCAGAAGCATCAGGGGCCGGTGCATCAGCAGCTTCCTCCTCGCTGGCTGGCCCTCCCGCAGTTCCGCTTGGAGAAGGTGGAGATGACGCCTCTGCATCGGATTCAGGGGCTGCGGAGGGGGACTCATCGCTGGCCGGCCCGGATGCAGGGCTGCCGGCAGGGGCATCAGCATTGGGGGCTCCGGCTTCGGCCTTGGGGGCACCGGCATCGGCCTTTGGGGCTCCGGCTTCGGCCTTTGGGGCTCCGGCTTCGGCCTTTGGGGCTCCGGCTTCGGCCTTTGGGGCTCCGGCTTCGGCCTTTGGGGCTCCGGCATCGGCCTTTGGGGCTCCGGCTTCTGCCTCGGGGGCATCGGCTTCGGCCTTGGGAGAAGAAGCAGCGCCTTTGGGTTCATCGGCAGCGGAGGAAGAGTTGGATGGAGCAGCAGCCGGGGTCTTGGCTGCGGCAGAGTCGGCGTCAGCGGGTGGGGCCTTGGCAGCAGAGGCAATGCCGAGGAGGACGGCGAAGAGAAGAGCGTGGAGAAGCAATTGGCGGGCCATTAATGGTGAATCGGTAAGGAGATGGGGGGAATCGAAGAGAAAAAGAGAGGAAGGGTTTTGGTTTTATTTAAATAGGATTCTGAAGGTCGCAGAAATCCTCTGTAAGGTATTATATAGAGAAAGACTGCAAGACCAGAGAATGAGTTTGAAGGAGGGAAGGGGAAGGGTATTTAAAGGACTTCAGGGCCCAACGGCGGAGGATTCAGTTTAGGGTTCAGAGGCTCGCCGGATTTGCCGGATTTCGCCATTTTCAGTTGGGATCTCTTCCCTACAGGCTACAATGGCGGGAGAGGGAAATTTGTTTAATCTTAAAAAATCAATTTTTAGTTCGTGGCTTTATGATCATATCAATTTTGATCGTGGCTTTATGATTTCTTTAATTGAACCCGGTTTTTCCTGGTTCGAGTTCAGTGAAAAACCAAAAATGCGAACCGTTGTTCATACAAAACCCCGAAACCCGCTTGTAGATAGTTCTGCAGCGACGCCGTGTTGACACTTGAAACTAAGAATGGCGGAAGAATCCACCCCGGAACCTGGATCGAATCGCTTGTATTCTGCCGTCAACGGCGGCCGGACGAAGGAAGAATGCGAGGATATGATTCGAAGAAGTCTCCGAAGTATGAACAACAAATCATTTATTTCCTGTTCTACTCGTCTCCTCAAAATTTGGAACCCGCGTATAAAATTGCAGGGTTTAGGGTTTTGCGACTTGTGTTTATTTGCTGAGAATTTGAAAATTAGAGCTTTCTTTTGTTTTTCTCGTACCTTCTTAACCGTTCTCTGCGACTCAAATGGGTCAATGATTCTATTTCTGTGTCTCTCAGCTCCGATGGTGAAATTCTTGATGGAGCATTTGGAGAAATCTGGATGTGGGATTGGGGATAAGTTTATTAAGGCTGTTCATTGCGATAAGCAGATCAGTGGTGGCTATGTTCGTGGTGAAGGGGTAATACTCATTATACTTTCCTCTCTTTGTTTCTGCTTATGGTTTGTTGATGAATTTGGATCTGGATGAGAATGTTGAAGACTGATTTCTTTATTGTGTCTACTTTCTTGCTTGTAGATAATGGTGTGTAGGAATCATATGAACATTCAAGATGAGGTTAACCAAGTTGTAATTCATGAGCTCATTCATGCTTTTGATGATTGTCGTGCGGCAAACTTGGATTGGGCTAATTGTGCACATCATGCTTGCAGTGAGGTATGAATCTGCAAATAGCCATTTTTTCCCAGATTGAGTTTCTTTTGTTCTGGTCTCTAGTTTTCCTTCTGGTAATTTTCTAACACATGTATTTGGAATTTAGATTCGAGCTGGACATCTAAGTGGTGATTGCCACTATAAACGAGAACTACTGCGAGGTTTTGTCAAATTACGAGGACACGAGCAAGTATGATTTCTAGAAAATTGTAGTTTAATTCTCTTGTTGGCATCTAAAAATGAGTAAAAGTTTCATCCTTCATGTTTTGAGATTTTTGAATTTCTGACATTGTTCATAGCCTCTTGCTTAAAATGGTGAAAAACATCCATGAAGTGTGCTTAGAGTAATTATAAATATATTCTCAGCGGATCAAGGACTAATGAACATGAACCACAGGACAGTAGTAAAGTTTTAGTGCTCTCTACTGATAGATAAGTTATATGATTAATAACTTAACACGTCCCAAGTTATTGTGTTACATTAAAGAACTTTTTTCATTATAGAATCTAAAATCTCTGTGTATGACCATGTCAACTTGAAGCTGATCTTGGCCATGAATACAGTTGATTTAACCATTCTTTCTTGCATCTTTTTGCTGATAATCGCTCTTGACAATGGATTATTTTGTGCTTAAGAATTTGCTTTTCCCTCAGCCCTTTGCTAAACTAGCTTATATATGAGCAGTGAGAGTAGAAGTTTTTCATGAAAGAAACATAATATTAGCAGAACATTTTAGGAAGGCTCTAATCTTGAAGTCATGTGATTGCATTCGTTTCTTTCTTTCCTTACTGGCCAATATTTCTAAGAGATCTAGGTTTGTTCAACCCTTAATGGATGGCTGCAATTGGGGGCCATTGTAACTCTTCTCACTGTCCTAGGAAAAGAAAACTCTTCTCACTGCCCTAGGAAAAGAAAACTCTTCTCAATGTAGATGTCGGTGAGGATATGATCGAAGGCGATGCACTAATGATAGAACAACATGTGCATGTGTGATATGATACAAACCAGCATTTCATATTCTTTTTGCCAACAATATTATTACCCTACTCTCGCTCGGATTCTTTTTCTTCTTGGTGCATTTCTGTTGGGCTCTTTCGGTTCGCTATTTGTTGACATCTTTTCTCAATTTGTGAAGGAGTGTGTGAGAAGAAGAGTGATGAAATCAGTGATTGCTAATCCTTATTGCTCGGAAGCTGCTGCAAGGGATGCCATGGAATCTGTCTGGGATGTTTGTTATAATGATACACAACCATTTGATAGAGCTCCCTGAACAAATGGATCATTGTCATGTCCTCTGCGGAGAACAAAGCAGCCACTGCTCCTATTTTAATGGTGCTGTGCCCAAAAGAGAAACAGGTTTTTTTGCCCAAAATTTGGATTCCATAAACTATAGAGTAAGTTCATTGTCACAAGCAGTTCGATCAATTACACGAACGATCGATGATTTTATTCGGATATAGACATTCTCATTTTTTGCTTGCATCTGTTCCAATACCCTTTTCATATTGATAACCTTATTGTATAATACATCTAAATTCCAGAATTTAACTTCTCTTAAATTACCATATTAATTGGTTAGCTATGTCCGTGTGAAAACAGTTTCTCTTATTCATTTTTACCATTGTATGGATAAGATGAAGATAGTTGGAAGACAGCATAGTTTTAAGGTCCCCTCCCATTAAATCTTGTTGCTCTTGTGTCTTTCATCCTTAGTGGCAATGGCAATGGCAATGGCAATGGCAATGGCAAGTGGAATAAGGGTATGGTGTTTGAAAAGACCCACAAGGACAACGATAGATATCTGTTCTTGTGCACCCAATACTACCAAAGAATGCCAGGTAACACTGATGTCCCTCATTGGATATCGATAGAAATATTGATGTATTGATGTCAAAGATAATTCTATTTATACTTTTTAAATATCTTGAAATACTAAGAGAAGATGATTGAGATCATTCGATAAATGTATAAACTTCAATCGTGAACACGGTTGAACTTGTGGGGTAGAGGAGTGGTTAAAACTAATATAATGAAGTTATTGCAATCGTCCAAATCCACTGTTAGTAGTAAATATTATTGACTTTGGTTCATTATGTATTGCTAGTTGTAAAACGCGATACTATGGAGAGGTTTCCACATGATTATAATAAATTTTACGGTTATTTATCATTATATATTATATATAATGAAGTATGTGAGCCAAACTCAGTGAGATACTTAGTTTTTAGCCCACCACCCATTTTCGTGTTGGTGGACCAAACTTCTGCTTAATTTTTCTTTTTTTTTTTTTGTCACACTTTCATCCTTTTAGATAAAAATAAAAACAACCCCGAACCTAAATTATCTAACTTCAAATTTTAAAATTTTTCCTACACAATTCGATCATAAAATAACAAAAGTTAGAAGTGTTTTTTTTTTTTTTTTTTTTTTTTTTTTTTTTTTTTTTTTTTTTTTTTTTTT